AACGGTCGGTTCCCGGGATCTGGGGCTTCGGGACCCCCCGGACGGGCCTCGAAGCGGCCCCCCCGGGCCTCGAACGGGGCGGCGCGGCGCGCTCCCCAAACGACCCCAGAGAGCCCCCAGCACGGTCCACGACGAGCCCCACGAAGCCGTCGTGCCCCCAAAGATTGTCCCGAGACGTCCCCAGGAGGCCTCCAAGAAAGAGCACTCCCAGGAAGGCCCCAGGAGGCAAAAATCGTAGATCTTCTGTTGGTTGTTGGTGAATTTGGGGGTTCTCCTCTTGTCGGCTTCCCGCTCCAAAACGGCGGTCTTCTGGGCGTCCGAAACCGCCTGGGAGGCCCCAAAATCGCCCCACAACCATCCGAAAGAGCTTCCAGGCAGTCCAAGAGAGTCCCAAAACGGCACAACAGGTGTCCAAAATGGCCCTCAGAGAGCCCCATGGCGGCCCAAGATGGCCCCAAGACACCCTCCGAAGCATTCCAAATTGTGACCCGGTCGTTCAGGGAGACCGCGGTTGGAGGCAGGGTGGCCCGAGGAAGCCCCCAGAGGCCCCCAGAATACGCCAAGGAGGCCTCCAGAAGGCCTTAAGAAAGCCTGACAACAACTTTTGAAAGGCCCCCAGAGGCTCTCCAAGGAGGAGCCTCCGCAAAAAAAGATGAGGAGGATGAGGAGAATGCGCAGGGCATGGCGAAAATGAGGAAAAAGAAGCCATGGAGGAAGGATAACGAAAAACATTATCATAGCGGCGATGCCAGAAAAGGCAACAAGGAGTTCTCGCTAAATTGTCGGCTTGACCTTCCTGCCATTCCGCCTGCGTACCAAACTTCAAGGACCAAGGTGCATGGCGCGAAGCGCCACTGCAGTCTTGTACATATATATATATATACATAAATATGTGTGTATATATATATATATATATATGATATGCCGCGCTTGTTTCGTAGCGAAGGCAAATATGGCTTTCGGGTAATGACTCAGGCCGCTGGCGGCCATTCGGAACGATCCGGGCACACCCGGAACGCCCCTGGCGAGGCGCAGCCGCTGGAGAGCGCCTCGGGGCTGCAAACCGTCGGGAACCGACGAAGACGGCCTAGAACCCCAAACCTCGAACCCTTAACAATAGAAGCCTCCTAGATGGGGTCGGAGTAGATTGTGTCGGAGGATCGCACCGCATGGCCGGTGCATCGGAGATGTGTCGGCGATACATCGGCGATGCCTAGGCGGCGTCGATGCATGGGCGACGTCGACGTGGAGAAAATCGGGCTCCACATCAAACCGCATCGCCGATGCATCGGCGATGCGGCGCGATCCTCCGACACCATCTACTCCGACCCAATCTGGGAGGCCTGGACCCTAACGAGGCCCAAAATGGCTTTCGGGCCACAACTCTGCTCTCTGGCGGCTGTTCGGGGCGATGCTGGCACCGCCTGAAGGCCCTCGACGAGGCGCAGCTGATGGAAACCGCTCTGGGTCCAAAAAACGTCCGAAAGCCTAGACACAACGAGAGGTGGGGGCTGCAGGCGGGGAGGGGCGCCTGTCGTTGAGCACGAGGCCCTCGATCGTCGGGGTCAGCTGCCACAGGTCGTGGGTCGCCACTGGCCTCCCAACCCCGCAGAGGCCCGCACTCGGGCGAAGGGGGTGGGCGAAGCCGCGGCGCAGGCATCGGGTGATGCTGCAGGTATTCCTGGCCCAAGCTGTCCCGGCCGTTGGCGCCGTCTCGAAGAAATCGGCATGGCGACTTTTCACATCTTTCGGCCCCTCGGGGCCGTCAAAAGACGACTCGGGATGAAAAACTGAGTCTGGGGAAATGGTCGAGAGGTCGGGGGCCCGTGCCTCGGAAACAAGCGGGAGGCCGGATGTCTGGGGGCTGCTCTGGAGGCCACCTGGGCCGCCCCGAAGGTCCTGGGGACACCTTGGGGCAGGGACACCTCCTGCAACACCCGAAGGCAAGGCCGGCCGTCGAAGAAGGAAATCTGGGGGGCCACTCCTGGGCGAGCTGCTCGCAGAAACGACCCAAATGTCCGACGCCACGACTCTCTTCAGCCCCGGCGTGAGGATCGTCGCTCTCGGCCTCTGGGCAGCTGCCCGGCCCCAGGGCAGGAACGGGTCTTCTTGATTCGCGGGTCGAGAGCGCACCTCTTCCGGTCGAAGCTAAGCGGGCCGCGCGAAGCTTGAATTAACCAGAGATGGGGGAGGGACAACCCCCAGGGCAGGAACAGGTCCGGGGCAGGAAACAAACGGACCCTGGGGGAAGGGGTCGGGACTTCGGGGGCCGCGCCTTGGAAAACTCGGATCGTCGGACGCCTGGGAACCTCGGAGGCAACCTCTTCGTGAGAACGACCGGGGGGCATCCATCCCGATTCGGGGGCCGTGGAGCCCAGGCTGGCCCAGTTCAGCCCAAGACTGAGCCGGGCTCGGCCGTATCACAAGCACAATTGAACGGGACCATGCCGGGTGAGGCCAAATTTCGACCACGGCTACACCAGCGCCCATGCAGAGTTCAACGTCCAGGGAGTGGCATCCTGAGACATCGGGTCGAACCGAACTCTGCGTCGAATCGAGCTGCATCGGCACGGAGTCAGAACCGAATCGGATCGGCCGCGCCTGACAACAGCAGCGCCACATGGGTACTGGGCCGAATAGGCTCATTAGAATATCGAGATCGAATCGGATCGACCCAGCCTAAGTCGATGTCGAATCGGATCGATCGGACAAACATGGACGCTTGAGGGGTCGTGTCGAGCAACTCTGCGAAAATCTTCGGCGAGGTGGCTATGGAGGGGCATCGGGGCGGGCGGAAGGGGGGATAACGAAGGCGAGGGTAACGAACCAGCTCACGTGGCCAGTCTTCCCCCCGCGCCCCCCCGGAGCCAAAGGCGCCCATGGATCATCGAGGACGGCGCCCAGCGGCGGGCGCCGAAACCGGCTGCGCGCAGCAGGACTTCGCCCCACCCCCTTTCCCACTCGCCCCCGTGTTACCTCCGGCGTCGCGATGTCTTGTCACAACGTGGGCCCCCAGAGATCTGCCTCGGCATGCCGCTCGCTCCCTTGGCGGCCTTGGCCCCTGTGATGGGCGGAGGACTCCTAGATTGGGGTCGGAGCCGATGGGGTCGGAGGATCGCACCGCATCGGCGCTGCATCGGCGACGTCGGCGATGCATCGGCGCCGTAGGCGTGGAGAAAATCGAGCGCCACATCGAGCCGCATCGCCGATGCATCGGCGACGCGGCGCGATCCACCCACCCAGTCTTCGGCGGCGCGACGAGGGGGAAGTGAGAGGGAGACGGCCCTCTCAGATGGCGGCGGGGCTTCTCAGAAGCCATCGGGCCTTCTGAGAAGCTCTCTGTGCCTTCGGGGAAGCCTTGGACACCTCTCAGAAGGCCAGAGGCCCCCCGAGCCCTCTGCGAAGGCCCCCTCCTTCTCCATGGCTCGCCGCCGCCGACTAAACTTGCAGGGCTGGGCTCCACATGTGGCGACCATCTGCCCGAGCCCAGTGCACAGCCGAGCCTCTTGGCGAGGGCCGCGCGCGCCCTTGCAGGGGCCACCCGGGCCTGCGCGGACGGCCCCATCCGGAGGAGGAGGAGGAGGAGGAGGAGGAGGAGGAGGAGGAGGAGGAGGAGGAGGAGGAGGAGGAGGGAGGAGGGGAAGGAGGAGGGGAGGAGGAGGAGGAGGATGAGGAGGAGGAAAGAAAGGAGAGGAAGAGGAGGAGGGGGAAGGAGGAGGAGGAAGGAGGAGGAGGAAAGCGAGGAAGAAGGAGGAGGAAAGCGGAGGGAGAGGAGTGAGGAGGAGAGGAAGAGGAGGAAACGGAGGAAGAGGGAGGGAGGAAAAGCCGGAGCGACATCCACAGCTCAGAAGGAGGAGGAGAGAGGAGTGGAGGAGGAGGAGGACGAGTACGAGAATAGGAGGAGGATAGAAGAGGAGGAAGGAGGAGGAGAACGACAGGAGAAAGGAGAGGGGAGGAGGAGTAGGAGGAGGAGGAGGAGGGAGAGGAGGGAGGAGGAGCAGGGAGGAGAGGAAAAAGAGGAGGGGGAGGGAGGAGGGGGAGGAGGACGAGGAGGACGAGGAGGGAGCGCGCCCCACGAGTCTCGGGCGAGAATAAAACTAGAATCACGCGCGCGCTTCGCGCGCGCGCTAATTCTAGCTTGGCACATCGCCACCGCCAACACCATCGCCGACGACATCGCCGCCATCACGGCGGCCCCCCTCCAAGATGACAAGCAGAATGCGTGTCATGGCTCTTACACTTGAAGGAGGGGGAGGAGAAAAAACTGTACGACTGACCACACATTCCCCTGCAAGAACAGATACTACACTGCGAATCTCAAACGTGCACGGGTGAAGCGTAGACAAGGCAAAGCTGCAGAGTGCACATGTGGGAGATACTGCAATGCACTTACCTGTAATTCAACACCTACACGAGCACAATTGCAAACTTCAATCCTCACCATCTGACAGCACCTCGGAGTATATCGACAGGCCGCCGCTAGCGCACAGAAGATCGTAAGGATTACAATCGGGGTAGTTATGATGGTGCCATTTCAGATCTCTCGCTATCTCCACATCGGCCCAGGAAGCAAGCGATGGGAATTCACCAAGCAACTGTTGTACATCGTCCTGGAATTCGCCGAAACAGCTTTCAAAGTAATTTGCGTTGTCTCCCATGGGTATGTCGCAGATGGTGAAAATGTCAAGAAATGAGGGCTCCGAATGCTCTTCTTCTGGCAGGCCACCCAGACTAGGCCCGTCAGCGCGTGCGACCGCAGCTCGAAGCATGAAGAAAACTGCGGGAAATGTCGTTTTCCGTACGGGTGGTGACCGCGCGGCGTGGCTCCCGAGAGCCGTGCAACAATTCCAACTGAGCGTCCGCAAGTATCGTGTCGCTGGTTCATACACCGATATCTGTGAGCACGGCTTCATGGTTGGACTCGCCGTCACTGTAGATGTCGAAAATTTGGCTCCCTCCAACAGGTCGTGGACCGGAGGTGCGGGAAGAGACGGGACGCCTCAAGTGGAAAACAAACTCGAGCAGAACTGCATGCATGGACGACGAATCGAAATGCTCCCAGCCTGACCCCCAGGCAGCCGTGTGGGTACGAGACTATTTGGCATCAGGCTCCTGAGGGTCCCCAGGCAGTGGATCAGCAGGGGGATCATTCCCATTTTCATAATCATCATTATCTTGGCCAGGGTCAGGCTCTGGTCGGTGCTCATCGCGACCTCCAGCTCCAAGAGGGCCAGCTTCATAACCATCATCATGCGGGCGGTGCTCGCCACGTAGCACGAACCACATCTTGACCTCACTCCGTCCAGAACTGTGCCAGTGTCCGCGGTCTGTGACCACGGTGCCCTGAGTGTGCGCCTCCACGACCGCAAGTGTAGCCAACAAAATACTACGATGTTCAACAGAAGTGGCATCAGGGAAAAGCTCCCGGACTCTGGTCATTGATGCCTAGTGAGATGTGGACCGCATGCCCGTCCTCGATGCATTGGCGAAGATGTCGGATACGAGAAGAAACAACCATCGCACGCGGCCCGGCGCCCGTCAGCGCAAAAAGCGCTGCCCCAACCGCGCGTCCCAGCCAGAGCCGGGGCAGCGGCTTGAGCCAAAATGGCTACGGCGGAGAAGGAGGAGAAGGAGGAGGTGGAGGAGGTGGGGAGGAGGAGGATGATGAGGAGGAGGAGGAAGGAGGAGGAGGAGGAGGAGAAGGTGGGGAGGAGGAACGAGGAGGAAAGGAGGAGTAGGAGGTAGGAGTTGAGTGATAGAGGAGGAGGAGAAGGAGGAGGAAGGAGGATGAGTAGTAGGCAATGATGACGAGGAGGACGAGGAATAAAGGAGGAGGAGGAGTAGGAGGAGGAGGAGGAGGAGAGAGGAGGAGGAAGGAGGAGGAGGAGGAGGGGTAGAGGAGTAGGAGGAGGTAGGAGGAGGAGGAAATGAGGAGAGGAGGAGAAGGAGGAGTGGAAGAGGAGGACGAGGAGGAGGAAGAAAGGAGATGAGGAGGAGGAGGAGAAGGAGGAGAGGAGGTCGAGGAGGGGGACGAGGAGGGGGACGAGGAGGAGGAGGAGGAGGAGGAGGAGGAGGAGGAGGAGAAGGATGAGGAGGCCTAGACACACGGGGACGGCTCCCCGCTCGACCCCCCCTGGCACCACCCATTCGACCTCCCTCGCCACTCCCCTGGCACGGGAACCTGCGCGCCGATGCTGCCGAGAGCGAGAAGCCGAAGGCTCGCTCGAGGCGAGACCCCGCGGCGACGACTGCGACCGCTGGCGCAAGAGAAAGTCCCCCCTCAGACAGAACCAGGACAAGGATAACATCGGACAAGGATAAATCGGGGATCTCTGAGGCCCAGCGGTTCTGGATGATGCATCGGGCGCCGCAGCCTTCTCAGAGCGTTCTGGAATGCTCGGAGGGCGTTCGGGGAATGCTCTGAGGCCTCAGCGGCGACGACTGGGCGTGCGACCGCTGGTGCAGAGGAAAGCTTCCCCCCGCCCCCTCGGTGGCGAAGAAACTCACAGCGGACGGCGCCTGGCACTTCTCGGCCCCCCATGGCGTTGCCCTCACCGCCGGGCCCTGGGACCGTCAGAAGACTGCCCGGGACGACGAGCTGGTCCTGCCGCAGGAGGAGGAGGAGGAGGAGGAGAAGGAGGAGGAGGAGGAGGAGGAGAAGGAGAAGGAGGAGGAGGGGAGAGAGGAGGTCGAGGAGGGGGACGAGAGGAGGAGGAGGAGAGGAAGGAGAAAGAGAAGGAGGAAGAAGGGGAGAGAGGAGGTCGAGGAGGAGGAAGGGAGGAGGAGGGGGAGGAGGAGGAGGAGCACACCGCGGCACACCACGAGCGGAGCCCCAGCCCACATCCTCCTGCTTCCTCCTCCGGGCCAAACGATCTCGTGGCCCCCGGGGCCCCGCACTGGGCGAGGACGCCCTCCGCGAAGAATGGCAACGTCGGAGGTCCGTGGCCCTCTCGGGGCGCCTCTCCGCCCCTCCTCCTCCTCCTCCTCCTCCTCCTCCTTCCTCCTCCTCCTCCTCCTCCTCCTTCCTCCTCCTCCTCGCTCCTACCCTCCTCCTCCTCCTCCTCCTCCCTCCTCCCTTCTCTCCTAATCCTCCCTTCCTCCCAACCTTCTCCTCCTCCTCCTCCTCCTCTTCTCCTCCTCCTCCTCCTCCTCCTCCCCCTCCTCCTCCTCCTCCTCCTCCTCCTCCGGGCGGGCGGAGTTCAGCCCGCAACCCAGGCCCTGCGCTCCCCCCACGCCTGCGCGCCACGGGGCGCGCACGTGCGCGCGTCTCTGCAGTGCCAGGCTGCGGGGTTCCGGTGCCCCGACGTCGCGTGGGTGCTGTGCTATGGCAGCCGCTGGTTTCGCCGACGGCTGGCTTCGCCCGGCTGGCTTCGCCCAGCCGGTTTCGCCGCCCGGCGCCGCCCTGCGAAACCAGCTGCCGTCGACGACACCAGCTTCCGTCGGCGAGACCAGCTGCCGTCGGCGAAACCAGCTGCCGTCGGCGAAACCAGCTGCCGTCGGCGAAACCAGCTGCGTCGGCGAAACTGCCCGATCCGACCCGCCCGCTGGGGTCCGCCCGCCCAACCCGACCCGCCAGTTCGGATTCGCGCGTGCTCGGTCGAGCCCGCCCCACACTTTCATGTCCCGCCCGCCCGACCCGACCCGCCCGCTCGGGTCCGACGCCCGACGCCCGACGCCCGACGCCCGACGACGACGACGACGACGACGACGACGACGACGACGACGACGACGACGACGACGACGACGACGACGGCGTCGGCGTCGATGACGGCGACGGCGACGACGACGGCGTCGATGACGCCGACGGCGGCGCCGACGCCGACGCCGACGCCGACGGCGACGACGGCGTCAGCAAAACCAGCGCCGGCGAAACCAGCGCCAGCGAAACCAGCCGCCGGCGAAACCAGCGGGGCGAAAACAACGGGGCGAAACCAGCGGGGCGAAACCAGCGCCGGCGAAACCAGCCGTCGGCGAAACCAGCAGGGCGAAACCAGCGCTGGCGAAACCTGCTCATGCCTGCAATATGCGCCCACCCATGACCCCAAGACACAAGCTCAGGAGCTTCGATGGTCCCTGATTGTGCGGGTTCCACTATGGAATAAAACGCATTCCCGCATCGGCAGGTATGGCAGGTATGGTCTGGTGTAGTCTGACTCAGCTCATCCCACGATGCAAAAGCTGGAGTCGCTGGCGCAGAGGGAGGTAGACAGAGGGGCAAACAATCAGCTAACGTAGCTGGCTTTCCCGGCGACTCCAGGCGCCAGAGGCGTCCATGTATCGAGGAAAGCGCCCGGCGACGGGGCCGAAACACGCTGCATGCCGAAAATTTCGCGCCGCCCCTCTTTCTCAATCCTCCCCCTTTCATCCGACCCGAATACCCAGATCTCGGAAGTCGCGACGTTTTCACAACATTGACCCTCACAGGTCTAGACCCTTCCCTGGGACTGGCTTTTCATCCCGAGCCGCGTTTGTTACGGTCCTGAAACAGTCAACAACCTCTCCCCATTGTGATTTTGCAGCTTCCCCCCACAGGGCGAGCCCCAGGGATCACAAGCCCTCCCACAGCTTGGTTTAGGGAGCCTCGACGCGCGGTGCCCACTTCAGGGCGGCTCCTTGGGAGCCACAACTCGTCTAAGGAGTTCCTCCTCCTCCTCCTCCTCCTCCTCCTCCTCCTC